ATCAAGCTTTTGATGCTGCAGGACGTGACATGAAAAAGGCAAAAGAATTCGAAAATGTGGTTCATTCTCCATTACTTGCTTTGGATGATGAGCAATTGGTTTTGGATCTAATTCCACCTATGGAAATGCATCTGCTGCTTGGAGTTGTCAATCACTTCTTCAAAATAACAACCTATCCACGGAGGACAATTTGCTGGAAATGATTGTCACAAGCTTCTGAAGAACCTGGATTTGTTGCAAAATCTTGCAGAGAAAACATCCTCAATTTATATTTGTCCCATTATCAACACTTTCCTCAAATTTGAAGCTGTGGTCAGTGCTTGATTTAGGCCCACATTATCTTCTGATTTTTCTAAAAAAATTGACTTATTCAGATAAGCACATATGGCAATGCCATCTGGAAGCGTGACTCCAAAACTGCATGCAGTATTTTTTCATGTGAAGGAGTTCATCCAAAAGAAAAATATTGCTTAGGGAATCTTCAGTGAACAAACGACAGAAGCTATGCACCATCACTTTCATTAACACTGGCAAAGATACAAGAAACCATCAACCCATTCAGAATATGGAAGGCAACTTTAAACATGCATAGTTAACTTTAACAGCAAGCATCTTTAAAGGCAGTTTTGAAACAGGAGCAGAAGACTTATTTCAAGAATTAAAAAAGTTTTGCATTATTTTTGTTACAGTCTATTTGTTAGAATGTATTATTGTTTATTTTTATCAAACCAGTGCTGTAAAATGAATGAATACATATATATCATTAAATAATATCATCGAAGAAATAAAATTATCACTAACTCAAACTTTTTGATGCTGTAAAAATGCAAAAAATGGGTATGTTGTTTTTTGCCTAGTTGCTGTAATATCATAAAAATAAAAACTCAATTGATTTTCCGAGACAAAATAGTTGGATTTCAAATTTTATTTTTTTGAAATCCTGACATCAAGGGCTTTCATATGCACCCAGCCATTTCTCTGGGTCAGCTATATGCAGTTATCATGAATTCTGGCTGGGGATGAGCTGGCCTCAAATGTTATAGACATGAGTCATATTATTATTAATTATTACTTATTATTAATTATTTCAACTAGGTTTCCACGGTAAACTGCTTCCGTTAAACTATTACGCAGTGATATTTTCGTACACGAGAACGAAAACGAGAACGAAAAAAAAAGCCTTTCGTTTACGAAAACGAAAACTAAAACGAAATTTATTTTAAGAACGAGAACAGAATAAAAACGATAATTTTAAATTTTCGAACGGAATAAAAACTGAATCGAAAATTATTTTAAAACGAAATATTTTCGTTCTAGATTTGAAACGAGTTGAATTATTTGATATATATAATTATTATATTACAATACATTATAATGATATATTATTCGAACTTAATTGAATTTTATTCAATTAAGTTCGAATAAGTTTAGTTATGATATAGTTCGAATATATTTATTCGAATATATTTTTTCGAACCAAAAAAAAATCAAACTGTAAGACCAACACAACTACGCGATGAGTTTGAGTAAACTTTTTGCTGGTAGGAAGAGGAATAGTTCAGTATGGAAATGGTTTAAATAAGATGCGTCATCCGACAAATCAGAATGTTTAGTTTTACTTGATGGTGAAAAAGTATGCAATACAAAGTTGTGTGGAAAGTTAGTTTATCTGTTAGAGGATATGTTTTCATTCTGAAACAAACGACTCATTTTTATCATTTTAGAGTAATTATTCAATAACGTATACGAACTTATTTATACATTAATTGATAAACAGATAGATAAATAAACATATAAATATACAAACAAAAAATTATATAAATATGTTTATTTTTTTCTAGCTACATTTAGCAAGAAACCATAAGTCTGTACACGTTGAGCTGGAAGAGTCGGAATTAAAGAAATTAAGTGAAAAAAAGCAAACAGGGATAAAGAGAAAAGCAGTGGATGAAAATGGACCCACTCTTTTAGAATCGTCCTCAAATCAGAACCAGACCTTGGTTCAATGCATTAATCGTAGGAATACCGCATGGCCTATTAATTCACACGAGCATAAAATTCGACTAAACTCTCTTATTCAAATGATAATTGCAACATGTAATCCAGTGACATTGGTGGATAATGCGAGTTTTAGAAAGTTAGTTAATACCTTGGATTATAAATTTTCATTGCCTGCTTCTGCCAAAATTACTAGCCTACTTAATGAAGAATTTACTGTTTTAACGAGAAAACTTCGTGACTTCATATCTGAAGGCAGGCGCTTCACAATATGCCTTGATGGCTGGACTAAAAAAGATCTTACTGCGTCCTTTTTAGGAATTTCGGTTTGTTTTTTTCACTTCAAATCCGAAAAACCAATACATGCTCTGCTTAATTTGTATCTTGTGAAACATCCACATACAGGTGAACAAATTGCTAATTGTTTTGAAAAATGCCTAAAATATTGGAATATTTCCAGAGAAAAAATATTGCTTGTTATTTCGGACAATGGAGCAAACATGGTCAAAGGCATAAAGTTGTCGAGAATGAAAGCTCAGGCTGAACGTGATATACTTATTGAATTAGAAAGTGAGGTTAATGAAGAGCAGATAACAGATCTGGAAGACGATGAGAATATGACAAATAGTGAAGAGTGGGAACATGTTGACTTGATAGTTGATGTAATAGAAAACGTAGCATTTAGAAGATTGGGATGCCTTGCACATGTTATGCAGCTAGTTGTAAAACTTGCATATGATGGTAAATATCATGGCTTACTTTTGAAGGTACGTGGATTAGTGGGAAAAGTTCGCAAATCTTCTGTTGCATTGGAAAAAATTATCAACAAATGTGGTAAGACTGTGATCAGCGACTGTTCTACAAGATGGAACAGCACTTACTTTATGGTTCGGAGATTTCTGGAAATAAAGACATCTATCAACGAAGTGCTTGGAGACCTTAACATTGATTCACTTGCCAATAGCGAATGGATAATGCTTCAGGATTTTGTCAATCTTTTAGAACCTTTTGCCAATGAAACTGATATTCTTCAGACGGATGCACTTTCACTATCCAGTGTTATACCTTCAATACTTAATTTAGAATGTCACCTTGAGCAATTTGGAGATGCCAAAGATGTAGCAGTTAAAATGCTTGAAGATCTACGCCGTTGTTTTGCCGTTCTTTTGCAGCCAAACGATCCTAATTTTAATCCACTGCCATGTGCCGCATGTCTACTTGACCCCACATGTGCAATAGCTCTTTTAGGTAATGAGCATACACAAATCAGAGAGTGTGCAAAGAAATAAATTTTGTCAGAGGCTAAAAAATCGGTGCAACATGATTTACCTTTAGCAAGTGCATATACTCTTTCTGTTGAGATTGCTCCAGAAATAAATGGATTAACAAAATGGAAATTTTTAGCGGCAAAACAGCGAGTAGAAAAAATAAAGCTTATTCCAGGTAATGAAGCACAAAATGAACTCAACAAATACTTTATTGAAATAAGGAACAGCTCTATGTGCCAAAATGCTTTAAATTTCTGGAAGATGAGACGTGCTGTTTACCCACATATTGCACCATTAGCTGAAGACCTCATTGCAGCTCCTGCAACTCAAGCATATTTTGAAAGACTTTTTTTAATCTGTGGCTTGCTCACAAATGGACGGAGAAATCGAATGTCAGCGTCATTGGAAATGCGAGTTTTCTTAAAACTAAATTCTCATCTAGTCTAGATGATAATCATATAATCACTAGGCCCTTTATTTGTAAAATATATGAGTAATTATTAAAGTCTATACAATAACTATTCATTAGTTTTTATTGTTACCAAATTTGAGAAGTTTTTTTTATACCTAATAATTGAAATTTTTTTAAGTTTTAGAGCAATAAAGACAGGTTGTTGTTGTGTTTTTTATTAAGGGCGGTGGGCGGGGCTTTAAACTTCTAGCCATGGGACTGGGTGTATTACATTTAATTAAGTTCTCATTTTTTTGTTTGTTTATAGAACTAAGACTTACTTCTTTTAATTATATATGCCTATATTATTTATAAATTATACTAAACTATAATTAGATGAGATAAAAAATTTATACCACAAACGAAAATTGAACTAAATAAAAACTAAAACTAAAATTATTTGAAGATGAACTGAATAAAAACTAGAACTAAATTTATTTACTGAACTGAATAAGAACTAGAACTAAAAACTTTGCCTCTAAACTGAATAAAAACTAAAATTATTTTCCGAACAAAAATATCACTGCTGTTACGGCATTCAATCCGGTTTGTAAGCATTCTTTGTGATACACAAATCCAAGTTAAGACTTTGATATTAAACTGTGCACATTATTTTATAACTCTCTCCGTCACCTTGCACGGTATAGGTGAGAGACAACAACTTGTAGTTATAAGTTTTAAGTTTGTTTTCTTTTTTGAGGTTAAGCGTAGTATTTGATATGCGTTGAGATTTTAACATTCCTTGGGGAGTTGTTAAACCTTGGCAAATAAGGTTGATAAATTTAGTTTTTTTTTAATTTTTTTATTTTATTCTTTAAAATCGTTTGTAGATTTTTTAGAATAATCTAAAAGCATTTATGAGATTTATGAGAACAAACTATTTTTTTTTTGGATAAGACCTAGTGTCTTCTTCAATATTGTCAATATAAAAACAATCAAATTTTTTTAGAGAGATAAATTATTTAAACTATAATTCTTTGATAATATAAATAAAACTTATAATGCACATCACCAAGTAAATTTAATTTATACCTCATCAATAAAAACATTTTTTTCTATTTTTTTCTAAATAAAATTTCATTACGGCTTTTTTTTTTTACTTTCATCTTTTGGGACCCCTTTTATTTTTCCACCCGGGAAATGTATGTCACTTTTGTCCCTTTTTTTCGGCGGCCCTGTATGTATTTATATATATATGTATGTATGTATATATGTATTATGTATAAATGTATGTAAGTACAAATATATGTAAGTATGTATGCAAAACAAATATAAATTATTACTTAATCTACTCAGATCGTATGGTACTATATTATTTGGCCAACGGCCTCCAATAATACTTCCGTAGCCGTTGTTTACTGCTTCTCTTTCATCAGGATCTAGTCGCATGTCTCCTTCAAAAAGATCTTTGTCTGTAAAAAATAATAATAATAACTGCATTCACTTTATTTGTTTAAATAATTTCATACTGTAGAGTTGTATTTATATGTACAGCTAAACAAATAAAATAAACTTATTTTTATAATGTATAGAGCAAATTGGGGTGAGAGTAAACGAAAAAAAATGAACAGTTGAACAATTTTGCTTCTTTTGCATTTATTGAAAGCTGAAGAAAAAAATATTTAAAAACGCAAGGCATTTGGTAAAGTTTTTTAAAATTTTGGGCGAATTGCACTGTAGAGAATTTTGTGCTCTATCTTAAAGTGTAAGAATTGTTTTAAAAAATTTATTTTTGTCTTTGCAAACTTTTAAATTTTCATCTTTTTAAAAAAAAGTTTTTTTCAATATAAGCAACTTCGTAACTTCAATATAAGCAACTTCATAACTTCAATATAAGCAACTTCGTAACTTCAATATAAGCAACTTCATAACTTCAATATAAGCAACTTCATAACTTCAATATAAGCAACTTCGTAACTTCAATATAAGCAACTTCATAATTTCAATACAAGCAACGTCATAACTTCAATATAAGCAACTTCATAACTTCAATATAAGCAACTTCATAACTTCAATATAAGCAACTTTATAACTTCAGAAACTAAAATTAAATTTTACTAAACTAAAAAGACTGTTTTGCAGAACATTTTATGATCATCAAGGTTCTCTTTTCAAAATGACCGAGCCTGCTTCATCATCCTCAACCGTGTTTGCTTCATCATCTTCATCTAGCCTATATCATCATCAAACATTAGTCAGCATCAAACTCCAATTATTCGCCAACTTCAAAATTTAACAACAATACCAGTGGCTCCTGCTCAAACGTATTGTATGTTGCAACACTTTACAGAAAGACTCGAAGGCAATTTGAAATATTTACAGCACTACTGTGTTGACACACAAAAAAAACCCAAAAGAGTCAACATACCGAGAGTTGAAGACCAGTGTTCAAGTACATCTAAGGTGCTCGAGATACTAATGCAAGACAATGAGACCAAAAAGTCAAAGCAATTGAAAAAACGCAAGATTGACTTCAGTGATACTAAAGATAAAACTTAGCTAGCGCAACATTAAAAAAAACCGAGACAAGACAAAACATCAAGAGGTGCAAAAAGTGTCGCAAAGTTTAGGAAGCATTGCTAACTCAAAACAACATGTGGTACCAATGTGAAGCTTTTAATTGCAAGTTTTGGGTTTGTCAATCGTGTTTACCAAAAAATACAAAATTGGAGAAGAGTTTCTTAGCATGAAAAAATGCCGCGGACCTGCTTCTGACCATGAAACAACTCAAACTTATTTAACTAATCGTTTTTTTCGTATATTTGATTCAAATAAGTTTTTGTAAACTAAACTTCTAATAAGTTTATTTTTTACTCTGTTTTTGATTAATTTAACTTGATTTTCTTCATATCTTAATCAATTGATTTTTAAAATTTAACTTGTTTTTTTCCCCCAATTTTATTGGGGCAAAGTAAACCTTTTTTTTCTTTATAAAAATTGATTTTTTCAGAAAATCTTAAAAATAATTTTTCTCAAAAATTTTTATATTTATAAAATGTAAAATATTATCTATAAAACAAACTAAAAAAGCCCATCATTTATTCAAAAAAATAATTCAATGTGAAGCTAAACCGTTTACTCTGACCTTAGTTTACTCTATTACATTTGTAAATATTCGTTTTTTTATATACACTTTATAAGGGTATTTTACATAATCGTATTTGTATACTATATTTATAATAGTATATATTTAAAATAACTTGTTACCATTTTTAATAAACAAAAAATCAATGATTAACAAAAGTAACAATAATATATACAATTTTATATATACAATACTATATACAATACAATATATATATACAATAATATATACAATACAATAATATATACAATACAATAAATACAGTAATATATACAATACAATAAAACAATAATATATACAATACAATAAACAATAAAATTTTTGCTTTCTTGTGTTGCTTTAGTTAGCATTAAATGGACTTTAGTTTTTTTAAAGGGCAAAAAGGAGAAACATTATATAGAGAGGCGGTTCTACGGATAAAATGAGGGGGGGGGGGAGGTTTTGGAAATTTAAAAAAAGTACCAACTGGTACATTTTAAGGATTCAAAAGGTCATTAAAAATAAAATGTGTCAAATATCCACCTAGCCGACAATATTCTTTAAAAACAGATTTTAGCTTAAAAATAACCTTCTTTGGGGGTGTCACACCCTTTACTCACACACGTAAAATCGCCTCTGATTATATACATATATATATATATATATATATATATATATATATATATATATATATATATATATATATATATATATATATATATATATATATATATATATATATATATATTCAATAAAAAATTTTATATATTACTTTCCATTTCTGGAACCCAATGAGATTCTGCATAACTTGTACAGCAAATGAGTACAATGCTAAAAAACGATATCATTTTAAGTTCAGCCTTGAAGATAAAACGTTCTTGATAAAATGGGTCAAATAGGTAACAATCAGTTTCTTTAACGAAAAGCAGTTGTTTAAATATATTGCTAGCTAAATAAACAATATATCGAAAAAATGAATAAATTTAGGCACTTGTAAAAAACTTAATTCAATATTATTATTTTACAATTACAGTGGTGTGTTTGGTAAAAAGGAGTCTTTAGGTTGGTTTGCTTGTTAGGACATTTTTTTTAATGAATATTATAAATTATATTTGCTAAGTATACAAAAGTTTGATTTTTGATTAAATTTAAAAACGCGCATTTAAAACTTTGTTTACAAAGGTATAAGGTATAAGGTATAACTTACATTCTTAAGTTGCGTTTTTTATTTTTTATTATTAGAGTCAACCTAATACTTTTTAAAAACATTTAAAAAGTATATTTAGCATAAGTAATATTATACTGAGTTCGTAAGACTATACTAAATATATACATAAGTAATATTAGAATTAGCCGTGTTTGTCATGTTTTTTAAATTTTGGGTAAATCGTTTTTGAATATAAGAGCAAGTTGGGGATAACACCTAATAGATAAAAGTTTGGGAATTCGTATTGCACATTGCAGCCGTTAAAAATGCTATTTTTCTTTTAGATAAATGGTTTCTTTTTTTTAATCTATTATTTGCTATATATATATACATATATATATATATATATATATATATATATATATATATATATATATATATATATATATATATATATATATATATATATATATATATATATATATATATATATATATATATATATATATATATATATATATATATATGTATATATATATATATATATATATATATATATATATATATATATATATATATATATATATATATATATATATATATATATATATATATATATATATATATATATATATATATATATATATATATATATATACTGTACATATTTAAAATAGCGTCTTGGGTTAAATGAAAATTGCCGCACAAAAGACCAAATGATATTTGGCTCTATTTTTTAAATAGCTTTACAGGGGTGCGCAGGTTATCGCAGAAAAAAATAACAATATGAATTTAAAATGTCCACAAATTTAGGAAAAACAAAGTTGGCGGGAAAATCAATAACGTCTTGACTTGTTAATAATAAAAAAAAATTTGCGGTTTTTATAAATTGGTAAAAAAATGGGTCGAATTAATCGCCTAGAAAAAGAAATGGTAAGAAAACTTGTTTTTCACTCTGGAAGGCAGGTGTAAAGAAAGCAAAATTTGCAAAGCAGTGAAAAAACAGCTTCATAATTCAAATGTTTACCGGCTTATCAAAAATGTAGAAAAAGGTGGAAATGGTAAACTGAGGCAGACCTTAGAAGACCTAAGAAGATTTGTAAGAACTAAAGAACTTTAAAATTCTGATGACTCCAAAATGCGGCGAAATCCAAATCGATCAATATCCAGTTTAGCTAGAGAGTCTTGTGTGTCAAAGAGAACACTGCAACGAGTCATCCATGAAGACTTAGGTATGAAGAGTTTTGTAAAGCCAAATAGGCAACTTTTGAGTGAAGGTACGTAAAGTAAAGTAAGGTTTGAGTGAAGCGCTAAACGACAAAAAAGAGCAAAGCAACTTTTCAGAATGATTCAAAATCCACCCAAAAGATCTTGTTGTCTACAGTGATAAAAAAATCTTCACAATCGAACCTGAGCCCAAAAGATACAACAACAGAGTTCTATTGAAGTCTTGAAGAACAGTTTCATTGGAAATTCGGACCATGCGATGAAGATAGCCCCTATAGAATTAATGATATAGGGTGGCGCTTGTTCAGATGGCTCAAAACTTGTCTTTGTTCCCAAAGGTGTCAAGGTGAACCGAAAAAAGGTCCACAAAACCTAACCAAATTTGACAGCTCTTAAAGCAGATATATGTTTGAGTTCTTTATTCATAGTGGTAAAGAGTTCATATATATTACTGCTTGAAAGGAATAGGTTGGTATCATCTGCGTACATGATACTTAAAAGGTTGAAAGCTTTTTTCAAATCATTTATATATATCAGGAAAAGTAGGGGTCCGAAGATTAAACGTTGAGGAACACCGCATACGATATCAAGATAATTATTTTGATAACCGTCGTTTACTAATTACAAATTTTTTTCTTTTTGTTAAGTAGCTTCTAAACCATTTTAAAGCAGTACCTTTAATTCACTTATATTTAAGTTTTTGCAGTAAAATATAATGATCTGTGTCGAAAGCTTTTGATAGGTCAATGAAGAAACCTTTTTTTAAATTTAAATTTAGATAAGTTTTTTTAAATTTTTTTTGTTTGCTTGTGGGGGGGGGGGGGGGCAGAGAGAACTTTCCCGGTGTTGGTAACATCTTCTGAATGGTAATGAAAACAAGTTTTGCGCTTTTACGTTATTTGAATAATTGAAATCAAAATTAAATTCAGCAGAAATTAGAAGAATACATAAACAAACAAAAAATGTAAAAAGTGTTTCTGATGCATGTGTTACCGGGGTAAATAGTTTTAAATCGACCGGGAGAAATTACTTTTTGACAGGGAAACTGGGACACGGATCTTAAAACCAGGATGTATGGCAGCCCTATCTTGGATCGTATAAACTAATGTTATCAACTTTAATCATCTGCGGCAGAAAACCTAAGCATGATTTTTGTTTTTCAGTAATTTTTTTATAATTTGCCATGTGGGTTTCAAGTCATTATTACATTTATTAATTTGTTCTGAGTAATAATTTCTTTTTCTTTTACGTATTTTTTCAAATAGATATTTGTAGTTTTTATATATTTTTTCGCAAACAGGTGTTTTTGTTTTTAGATATTTAATAATTTTGTTTAATTTATTAATTTTTAAACTTTTTAAAAAATAATCTCTTTGTAATCCAGGGACTTTTATTGCTTTTATTTATTTTCAATATTTTTTCAACAATTGGAAAATTAGCGTCGTAAACAGAAAACAATGTTTTATAAAATGTTTCGTAGAAGTTATTTCCATTGTCATTAAAATCAATATGATTGCAATGGAGTAAAGATAGCTGATCTTTAAATTATTCAAGATTTTTTTGTTTGAAAATACGTTTTTTACTATTAGGGTGTTAAAATTTTTTTCTTAACTTGAGTTTAAAATTAGGAATATTGGAAAATGTTCGGATATATCAGCTTTTATGATATCTATTAGGGTAGCCGAGTTTATTGTTACCCTAGTAACAATAAACTCGAATAATTAAGGGTATAGATCCTGTTTCAAAAATTGTGTCATAAAAATTTTTAACTTTATGGTCGTCATTGTAAAGAAAACAATTCATATTAAAGTCCCCAATTTCAAAACATTTTTTTTTCTGAGTCACTTGTTTCCACAATATCTTGTAAAAACAAGCTTAGGTTTTCGCGCGTGCCGTCAGGTGTGACAACATGCTTGGAATAATGTTTTTTAAGGCCGTTTTCCACAAGACGAAATATTCGTGCGAAGCGAAGTTTTTCGCAATGACAAAATGCTGTTTTACTTTCTTTCGCGCTACTTTTTTTTCGTTGTCAACAATAAAGCAATAAGTTTACGCTGTATGTTTAACTAAAAGCAGTTATTACTTTTTTAGCATACTTTCTACTTTGAAGCATGTGAAAATTTCTATCCATGCATTAATATTAACATTTCTGCCTTTATATGTAAGATGTGATATTATTTTGTAATATAATCATTTAATAAAAGGTTTTTTTACAAGAAAGTATCAGAAAATAAATGCTAAACTTTGATATGAACATTTCTATTAAAAAACTGTCACTGCAGGAACGAACAGCAGGTTTAACTCTATGTAGAATTTTTTACAAAAAGGTTTATCTTCGTGTGGCCATTTGAAGATAAACATTCTTATGAAGTCTAACTTTTGTTATTGACAGTTTGAAAATTTATATTTGTAAATTCTCGATTTAGTTTTATATATAAGTCTGGTCATTTTTTTATGTAAGTCTTGCCACTTGTTTAATGAATTTACTCATGCTTGCCAATTTTTAGAGTAAGTTCATATAAAATTAATAAGAACGCCAGGTTGAGAATTTTATTTTTTGTTACTTTAAAAACAACATGTTTTCGCTTTTTTTAAAGTTGACATCAAGTTTTGAATATTATATCACGTGAATATTATATCACGCAAATCGCCAAAAGTCGAAATGAATCCGGCTTTTTTTTTCGCTGCAGCGAAACGCCGTAGCGAAAAAAGATCAAAAAATGTTTAATCTGAGCATGCTTAGCGACGCTTCGCGCGAATTTTTCGTCTTGAGGAAAACGGCCTTTATTTTCAAGTCAAAGTTCAATTGTTAAAATTTCGCCATCGGAGACGCTTAAATCATTTCTCATATTATAAAGGATATTTTCATGAACATAAATTAGAAGTCCTCCACCCCGTTTATTCGTTTTTCTTTCTTGTGAGATAATTTTAAAATAAGGAATTTTAAAGTTATTGTCAAATCCCTTTTGTGTAACCCATTTATCAGTTCAAATCCCTTTTGTGTAACCCATGTTTCAGTTAAACAAATAATATTAAAAAAATTTTTTGATTCTCCTAAAAAAGTTAAAAGTTTTTCAAAATATCGATTTAAACTCACGGTCGTTTAGATATTAATAAAAAGCGCTATGTTTAGGTACGCATGCGTAAAAAAAATATGAACTTTAAAAATGGCTACGGTACTTAACTACAGAGAATATTTTGTATGGCAACAGATTATTTGTTAATTAATTTCTGAAAAACCATTGATGTAGCCTTATGTTTAACGTAAATCAATAGGAAAATACAAAAATTTCACAAAAAAATATAAATAAATAGAGGTAACAAAAACCTTTGCGCGTTTAAACTTTATTTTTATTTAATATCTTTTTAGTGTAAATCATAGATTTGTTTATTTATTTGAAATCAATTTTCTAAAAATCTGACAGTAGGATTTTAATAATTTTTTTTTAAACTTCAGATAAATATGTTTTTTATGTATGATAATTTTCTCGTCAATGCTTCAACTTTTTTTCCATACAAAAATTTGTTTTTACTGTTATGACTATTTCCTTATATATCAAAGTGCAATTGTAACAAAAATAATAAAAGTAAAAAACACTTAAATATATTAGGAAAAAGTCATAACAGTAAAAGTAAATTTTTATATCGAAATGAAGTTGAAGCGATGACAAGAAAAATATCATCAATATAAAACATATTTATCTCAAGTTAATTATAGTTAATTAAAAAATATTATTATCTAATTAGGTTTTCCCAAAAAGAACATTTTTGAAAAATATATGCTTAATGTGTTTTATATAATAAAAAAAAAACTAGTTTTTAAAAATTTTTGAATAAAAAATATTTTGATGACTCCCTCAAGACCCTTAGGAACTTGTTATGTTCATTTTAGACCCCAAGCTCCTAATATTAAAAAAAAAAATTATTTAAGTGTATCATGTTGGGTCTCAAATAAAGCAAAATTATATGAAAATTTCAATGTTAGATTTAACACCATAAAAAATGAAGTTTATTACCTAAAAAAGAAAATAGTGCATTTTAACCATTTTTTTGCAATATTTTTTTTACAATAAGTTTTTTATAATATAATTATCATATTTGAAATTTTCATGATTTCGCTTAATTTGAGATAAAATGTCAAGATACACTTTTGAAGATTTTTTTTTGTTGATAACATTAGGAACTCATTTATGTCTTGAGGGACTCCAAAAAAAATTTTTTATTCAAAAAATTTTTTGGCGAATAAAATTTTTTAGATTTTTGAAGGTTTTTGAAGACCCTTTTGAAGATTTTTTTATTGATAATATTAGGAACTCGTTATATGGGACTTTTAAGGGACTCCAAATATATATATATATATATATATATATATATATATATATATATATATATATATATATATATATATATATATATATATAATTATTCACCTCTACACTGACTGCAGTTGAGGAGGCTACTTTTGTGATTACAACTCTTTCTATAACTCCGAAACATGAACAAGGTCGCTGCACGAGAAGTTGACAAACAAGTATATTATCACAGCTATCATGCAAGTAACAAAAAAAAAGAAAGCAAAATTAATTTTTAGTACCAAAAATTTCGTTCTTATATTATAAATATTAGTAATTTAGCTAATTCCTGATACTGGATGTAACAGTAAAATATATAAACAATATATATATATATATATATATATATATATATATATATATATATATATATATATATATATATATATATATATATATATATATATATATATATAGATATATATATATATAAATATATATATATATATATATATATATATATATATATATATATATATATATATACACATATAAATGAGGAACAACTATCAATTGATTAGACTAACACTTAATAACTTAAGTATCCTTAAAGGCATACTCACTGGCTAACTAAGCCAGTTAGAGCAAAACTTACTAACTACATATATATATATATATATATATATATATATATATATATATATATATATATATATATATATATATATATATATATATATATATATATATATATATATATATATATATATATATATATATATATATATATATATATATATTAAGAACTTAAATTATGAATAACATATATTAAGTATTATTATATTTAATACAAAGCAGTCTTATATTAACAAGTAGATAATATAGTGTAACAAAATATATTTCTTTAATCCTTTTTTAAAGCTTATGCTGCTATGGTGTAGCAGAAATAAAAAAACTGCTATGGTGTAGCAGAAATAAAAAACGAAATGTCTTTGTTTTGCTTTTTATTTCTGCTGCACTATGTATGGTGTAGCAGAAATAAAAAACATAATAATTCCCAAAAATTTTTCCATAAAATTTCACATGTTTATCTGTCTAAAATGTTTTGTTTGATTTCTTGCTCTTAATGTTATATTCCAATTATAGCATTTGTGATCTCCCACAAGCTTCATTTTCATCAATTGTTGTTCACAAACAAGAGTTGGTAATTTTTAAAATAGCTTCAATACAAGATTTGCACAACTGTTGCACAACTTGTTTAATTGTAAATATTTAGTAAGTCAGATAAATCTAATCAATATTAACATAACTAAAAACTAAAAGTTATAAAAAAAATTATTACAAGTTAAACTCCTTAGAGATTATTATTAAATTAAAATATTTTATTATACTTTTTACTAAGTTTGTTGAATATTGCAACAAAAAAGTAAAAAATGCAGTAAAAAAGAATACTCTTATGCTAAGACTTTCCCTATATTTTAAGTATAAATATGCAAATATATGCATTTAAACAGTTTATATATGCAAATATATGCACTTATACAGTTAAAAAAATGCATACTTGCTTCATAACAAGCAGGTCCATAATAACTTATTTTTTTATATTACTTCCAAAAAATATTTGCAAATTTCAGGTAAAAAAAGCATGTATATGTGTGTGTGTTATATATATATATATATATATATATATATATATATATATATATATATATATATATATATATACATATATATATATATATATATATATATATATATATATATTAGTAAATACATTTTAAATAGTCATAACAGTAAAAACAAATTTTAATATTGAAAAAAAGTTGAAGCAGTGACCAGAAAAAAATTATAAATATTGAACATATTTATCTAAAGTTTAAAAAAAAAATATTTAAATCCTACAGTCTGATTTTAAGAAAATTTTAATATATATAAATTATATATTAAAAAATTTTAATATATATAAAATATATATAAATTAATTTTAAATAAATAAACAAATCTATAATATTCACTAAAAATTTGTTTATTGAAAATAAAGTTTAAGTACTCTAAGATATTTTTTATCCTTTTTTTATTTATATTTTTGTGAAATTTTTGTAATAATATACTGATCTACATTAAAAATAAGGCTACAACATAGAGTTTTCAGAAATCAAATAACAAATAACACGGTTGCCATATAAAATATACTCTGTAGTTAAGAACCGTAGCCATTTTAAAAGTTCTAAAGTTTTTCGTATTTTCTCACGCATGCGTACCTAAACATAGCGCTTGTAAACGACCGTGAACTTCTTACATTGAGGTGGAGAATTATAATTCTTTTAAATTGCATTCTGAAAAAGAAAACGCAAAAAAAAATTATTATCTGGATCTAGGTTTTTATCAGAGGAAAAGTGGTTTCTTTCGAAAAAATTAAATGTTATGGATTCAAAATCATTCAATAAAGCCATTCTTATTAAAATTAGGTTAACTAAGGTTTCTTTTTAAGAATGCGCAATTCGATTATTTGTTTAGAGCGTTTTTAAAAACATGTTTAAAATAAATAATTTTGTCGTAACGAACCGAAACATTCTCACCATTTAAACGTCGTTCTTTTACTTCCGTAAACAATTTTCTTCTGATTGCAACCGTTTTACAAGAAAAATCTTCATTTACATAAATGTTTGTTCCTCTGAGACAAGTTGATTCTTTTAAAACTTTAGCTTTGTCTTTGTATTTTTGAAATTTTAAAACTTTATTTTGCCCAGTTCAATTTTAATGTTCTTTAAACCCAGTTTTTGTAGAAAAAATGAATAAACCTTTTCTTCGGTTTCTTCCCAAGATTCGACTTCGTCTTCACATATTCCATAAGTTATTAAGTTACTTCTTCGCGATCTAAACACTGTCAAAAAAGTTTTTATCCACCTAACTAGCACATTTTAAAAATGCAATAAATTTTTATTCAGCAAAGATGTTAGCATGATATAAACTAAATTATATCATTTAAACATTTAAGAAATATTGTACAAAGAAAATACAAAAATATTTTTTTAAAGTAATGAGTAACAAATAAAATACAGCATTTCGGAATGAAAGACATTTTTGTCCTAAAAAAGTTTTCATCCGCTTTACAAAATTCAAATAAAATTGTTATCCGAACTCAATTTGTTAGTTTTAATAACTTGTGTTTCCACCACGAGCTTTTATTACTTCATGTAGTAAGTTTTTCATTGAACCAACTAATTTTTTGATAATTTCTAGAGAGATTAAGCCCCCCTCTTTTATAATTACTAATTGTTGTTGTTACTTATTCCTTACATCGTGGGTGCTAATTTATCTACCTAATTCATCCCACAGATGCTCGATAGGATTCAAATCTTGAGATTGCAGGGGTGTATGAAGTTGCTTAGCTATTTTAAATATAAGCCATTCCTTGACACATTTAGCTGTATATTTTGGATTGTTATCTTACTGAAAAATAAATGACCTAGTAAGTCCCAATTTGTGAGCACTTTCTTCCAGATTATATTTTAAAATGTTTAAATACACATTTTGGTCCATATTTCCATCAATGAAAACCAAGTTACCTACACCTGAAGCACTCATACACCCCCACACTAAAACACTTCCTCCACCATGTTTCACCGTTATACACAAGTTTTGTTTTTAAATGCTTCATTTGATTTTCTCCAAACTTTAACTCTTCCATCTGATGAAAACCAATTAAATTTTGACTCATCGCTGAAAAGAACCATTTCCCAAAATGTTTGCGGTTCATTATTATAAAGTTTCGCAAAGTGTAGTCGATTGGCTTTGTTGACTTGCTAATGTAGGGCTTTTTCAATGGTACTCTACTATTGTATCCAGCTCTTCTTAAAGTTATTCTAACAGTTTCAGGGTCCACTTTTAAATTGTAATCATTTTGCAGCATTCCAGCAAGTTTGGGAGTACTTATTTTAAGATTTTGGATGACTGTTCTCAAAATAGCTCATCGATGCAATACTTGAATTTTATTTGGACGTCCTGTTCGTGGCTTATCAGCAATTTTTTTGATGGTTTGGTATTTCTTGATAATTTACTGAACAGTTGCACGTGATTTCTTTACTATTTTTCTTATTTTTCGCTGTGATTTTCCCTCCTTCCATTGTCTAACAATAAGCGTTCTAATTTCCTCTGCAACTCTCATTTTTTGTTAATAACCTAATACAAATAAAAAATATAAAAAATTCATATAAAGAAAAAATAATATAAAAATCTTACTAAATCTAATTTATTTTTTAAAAATGATACTTTAATACTGATTTAATAGCAAATTGAGGTTGAAGTGCAGGGTGGATGAAAACGTTTTTGTCACTAAAACGGACATTTTTTTTATTTATTATATTGTAAAATCTTTTTATACAATACTTCTTGAATGGTTAACTAATATGATTTAGTTGAAATTGTACTTATATCTTTGCTGAATAAAAAATTATCACGTCTTAAAAATGTACAGAATAGATGGACAGAGTTTTGACAGAGTGTATCTTCGAGGTTTCGGATTTTTTCGTTTAGAATTGTTAAACTTTTCTTTCTCTAGTTATTTGCAGGGCCGTTGAGAGCTTTTATGGCGCCCGGGGCATAGGGTTGAGCAGGCGCCTCTTAAATATACATTATTGGTATTGTGGTTTATCCTCCTCCGGCTGATTGCCATATAGAGGCCACATTACCAAGGCCCGCAAAGACAATTTCGGCTCCCCAAGGAGCGTCATAACCCGTTCTACGGACCAAGAGTAAAGTGATTTTGGGAAGAACGAAGATATGTTAGAGTGAAAGATAGAAGTAGTTGAGTTAAAAAGACAGCATAGAGAAAGCGGACAGGATTGCACATAGTTTTAGAAGGAACAATACGTTAATATACACATAATTGGTTTAATCCAATTGTTGTATGTCTGAATTTAAACTTGTTTTTAATTAAGTTTAACCAAGATACATTATAATAGTTTAATTAAGATACATTATTGGTATTGTAATTAAGATACATTATGAAAAAAAAAAACTTTATCAAAGGCAATCTTGCATATATATAAGTGAACATAGTTTTAAAATGAATTTTCTTAATTGTGGTTTATTTCTGTTAAAATCATTTTATGGCAATATTTTCAAACATTGCGTCTTTAAAAAAATACAACCAAGCAACGCAAATACAACATAAATGCATTATTAAACATTCTTTAAAAGTTCAAATAAGTAAAAAAACAGCTTATATAAAACACTCTTTTCTTGCTTTTTTACCGGCAAAATTTGTTATTATATCATTATATGACATAGTCTTAGCTAACTCATTTTCCACTGAAAGCATCATGAGATCCAAAAGGCGTTTTTGTCCCATAGTGGCCCTACAATAATTCTTTATCAATTTAAGTTTACTGAAGGATCGCTCATCCTCTGCAACAGATACTGGCATTGTATTAAAAATTTGAATTAAAATGCATACATATGGAAAAATAGGCTGCAGACTCTTTCAATGTATTTGGTTGAGAAGGCTAAATGAGTTTCCAGGAATAAAAAATAAAGACTCCTTCAAACAATTAAGATGCAAAATTTCTTGTATGAAGTTGTCTTCTTTGACATCATTAGCGTAGAACTGTGCTAATTCACGAGTTTTTATCTCTTGAGAATCTGGTTCTTGGTCTTTCAACGAAATGAATGAGAATCTTGAGGAAACACTCTTTACTACGTCAAATCTTGACTGAACTTGATTAACAAAATGATCATGAGCAACGTTGAAGATGTTTAACTCAAATTGATGCTTGTGAAGAGAGATTCCAGTCAATTCTTGCAAAATCTTCCACCTAGCCGGACTGCAGCTGAAAAACACGTAAAGAGCTTGGATATTACCGAATAAAGTCTTTATCTCAGCACAAGATTCAACTGCATGTACTCCAACTAAATTAAGACTATGGCGCCACAATGCATATAGAGAGCTAATGGATTTTTCTGTAAAATTAAAGCTTGTGCTCCAACGTAAATTCCAGCCATATTTGAGCCGTTGTCGTAACCTTGGCCACGGCATTTCTGCAAGTCAAGATTTACTTTTATTAAAACATCACAAAATAGTTTTGCAATATCCACTCCTTTTTTTTTTTTCCATGTCTTCAACGCAAAGAAAGCGCTCTTTTACCTCTTTTACCTCTTTTACCTCTTTTTTAAATATAACTTCTGTTTCCTTCTTAAAATCATCCAGCATTTCTTTCATCATTTTTTTTTATTTCTTGGAGTGTTACCGCCGATTCGTAGATTTTTTAAATGTTTCTATATTATCTTTAAATTTATTTGACTTTATTCACTTTTCTATTCAATTTATTTCAGAAGAATTTTTTATATTTTTGCGCACAAAAGCGTCTGTTCTCTTCGAAAGCTTTGCGCACAAAAGCTTTACACAACATCATTGTATATTACACTTGTGAGACCTCGTCTCGAAATTGCAGTACCTGTTTGGAACCCAACTCTAAACAACAACATATTAGAGCTTGAAAAAGTGCAAAGGAGAACCACAAAACTTATTCGATACCTCAAAAATCTACCATATGAAGTAAGGCTTAGGAAATTAAATTTAACAACATTAGAAAATCGAAGAACTAGGGAGGATTTAATATACCACTA